TCCTAGGGAAGGAAAAATTATCCACTGTGAACTACTTTTTAGAAATCTTTAGATAGCAGGCAAGCTATTTCTCCTGCAGGCTGAGGTGAACAAATACAGAAGAAAAGAGAATGGCTGAATTACTCTCAGCAAATATAAACTAACACAGTGACCAAAGACATCAGTTTGCGCAAAATCTGTGATAATTTTCAATCACTGTGCCAGCATTTACGTTTCTCAGAATGGAGAAGAATACTGGTGTGTTGTTTTTATTTTTATTTTTTGCTAGCATCCTGAACACACCAGTACTGCCCTTTAATTAGCATTCACTACCAAAAGTGTGGCTTCACTGCCTCTTTTGCACAATCTGACCATAGCGATTGCTTGGAGTTATTTTAAATGCAGCTTTTCTGTTGGCAATCACTTTATTTACTGCTTGGCTGTAAAACAATGATGCACTTCCTTGTGAACACAAAAGCAGATTAACATCAGTAATTACTAAAGCAGATGTTTGTAGGCAAATACCCATTTCTTCGAAGCAGATTATCTTCTGCACTGGCATATGGGAAAGGGATTCATATCATGCAATGCTCTTACTCTCAAATGATGTGAACAGCGACTCAGCAGAGAGGTGTGTAGCTCCCCTACCTTGCTTCCATCTCCTAGGAATCAATCTCTGAAGGGTGATTAAGCATGGGACAGAGCCAATTGTTGATCTTACTGAGATCAGTCCTGCTAGCTGTTTAGCATTTCATTCTTAAAAGTGACTGCCAATGAGTGAACAGGGCTTTGTGCTACATGTACTTGCTTCTTTCTGTTTGGCTTGAATAAGTTTGTTTATTATTTTGGTGTTTTTTTCTTGCTGTTCATGAGAAATCTAGGGCTGTGCTTTTGATTGAATTGAACACCTAGGCCTATGTTTTCTAGCAAGTCTATTCCCACTGAATTGCCTTAAAGACGCTTTTGGTACAAAATGCTAGGCTTATTAGAAAAAGACAATAGTTAGATCTTTCCAGGCTATTGTGCAAAGAAAGCATGGTTGTGCCTTGGAAGAATGATCCTCAGCTGGTGGGAAATGGCAGCTTCAGTCTTTTCTAAGCCAGTTATACTATGAGGACTGAAAGATGTTCAGATGTTTTTGAAGCCTGTCCTGGCACATGGTATTTACCAGCTGAAGTCTACTCAGCCTTGCAGTCTATCCAGAAAAGCCACCCTTGGCTGTCTGTGGTGAGAGCTTGTCAGCATGTGAAGGAATGTAGATGCAGAAAAGATGTGGCCATGGTTCTGTCTCCTTTGGGGCTTCAGGTTGGCTGCCTAGATTTCAGAGATGACCTTTGGAAACTGACAGAGAATATAGGTCCATGGTTTTCCTTGTGTAGAAAATTCCCACCATTACTATCTGAAAAAAAAATGCAGGAGCAGGGTGTGGACAGAAGTGGCCATGGTCTCTGAGGAAGGCAGAAGCTCTTTGCCTCTCCGAGTATCACTGAATTCAGTTGGTGTGGGAAAAGTGTGGATGGACTTATCTCCATAAGCACAGGACACTCTTCAGCAGCAGTGGCTTTATTTTTGGCACTGAATCACTCTCAGCTCTGTCTCATAAATTGCTGACCATCTTGCACAAGAGGCTTTCAATTTTTGAAAGTTCTCCTTTTACGTAACACCTCCCTTCTATCCCCTTGTGTGGGTTACACAGCACAGGAGGAGAAGGGGAGCCATGTCAGCACCCCACCTATCGCTGCTCTGGGTTCCACTGAGTGGGATCCAAAAGTCTGGCCCTAGCATAAGCTTGGCCTGCACTTTTTTTTTGCTGATCTCTTGGTTTTGAGAAATTCAAACCAGATGTTCAGCATTCAGACATGCTTTTCTTATTTTTCCTGCCTCTATCACAGTAATTACTCTCTATTGAGGGTCATTCAGAGTTCAGTTCTGTTGAGAAACTGTTATTCTTGATTACAGGATCGGCTGCTTTTTCAAACATCCTTGTCTAATTGTACTTTGAAAGACATGTCACAGTATCCCAGAGCTCTTCAGTTAGCTATTGAAGAGAGCAGTTGTTAACATCAGTGACAAGGAATGCAGCAGTTATTTGGAGAAAGGAATCTGCCTGCTGACTGAAAAAGCTTATCAATCCTGATTGGAACTGAAACATAGATGAAAATATATCAGATATTGCACAAATGATGTTGAACCAGCTATGTGGTCTGACACAAGAAGACACTGAAACTATGTTTCTGTTTCTGGTAATACTGACAGCACACTGCATCATGGACTTTTCCAGTATTATGTCAGGAGTCTGATGCTGCTCGGTATATTACCTAAGTCCTTGGGTCATCTGATTATTTGAGGATTTCTGTTTTGTTTATTAAAAGAAGAAACTTGTGATATAGACAATTAGTTGCACCCATCAGAAACAAAAAGATCAATGCAGTTTTATTTCGTGAACCAGGTCTCTCTTACTAACCTGCTGTAACGCATCATTTTTTGCCCCCCTCTTTTTTTTCCCTTCCTCTCAAAATTTCTGTAGTTCAAGTCCTGAAACAGTAAACAGATGCAGCTTGCTTCTGGCTCACATGTGAGGAAAGGGCAAGAGAACAGCCATCCACAAAGCCTTCAGCCCCAGCTGGAAACTCCCAAAGTCCAAAGGGTGTTTCCCTTGCAGTCGTTCTGCACAGTGAAGCCAGGCAGCAACTGTGTCAAAGAGAGACTTTGGCAACCACTATTTTGCAGAATAAATATTGATGCATCTATTAGGAGGGCAAAGAGAAATCCTGGTAAAACAGAAACATTTTCTGACACTGCTGACCAAAGACCAGCTCTGCCTTCTGCAGTTATATGTCTTCAACTGAAAATAGTGTCTGTGTCTAAGGAAGAGGACAACAATGTTGACCAACAGGCAACACCCTTCAGGCAGTTAAAAAGCTATTCAGATGACCACCAAATCTCCAGATATACCTCAGTTTTCTGTGAATAGGAGAAGGAATGTGGAAGGACAAGTGAAGAATAAGGAATTCTGAGATTGGTGTTTGAGATTTTTCTTCCTTTCAAACCACTTGTGATCTTTTCCTTTAAGTTCAAAAGTTGGTGATGTGAGCAGGAGGGCGAAGTGTTTCTGGCAACCTGTATGTAGTGTAGGAAAGGGTTGACAGCCACACCTCAGATGTTGCTTTTGTTTTGGGAAGCTGCAGGTACTTGTCTGAAATGCCACGGAGCCAATCCCCCAGTATGAGGAGCAGTTCTTAAGGAACTTCTCTGGGAGAAACAAAACCCAGGCTGAAGGCTCTGCTCCCTAAAACTCAAGACAGAGACTCTCCATCACCTGTGCCTAGACTGTGGTCTGTCTGGGGGTGAAATGGTCACCCTCAGTGTTGAACCCCCTCCATTATATGTGAATGATTACCTGCCTAAGGAGGCCAACAAGCCTTTCCCTCACGAAAGGTGTCACCATCCCTCAACATAACTGATGCAAGCCTCCTCTACTTCCTCAGTCTTTTCTCTTAGAGTGGCTTTGTGGGGTCAGTTATAAACTGGGCCAGTGACAGATTAACATCTAAGAAGAAACTGGAATTCTAGGTGAGCGCTGGAGGGCCAGGTTCCTCCTGACCATCAGGAAGTCCTCCTGTGCTGTCTGGGTGCCACTGCATTGTCACAGGCTATCCAGTGAAGTTGTGGAGGCTCCTCTTCCGAGTTCCTCAAAAGCCACCTGAACGTGGTCCTGGGTAGGCAGCTCTGCATTGAAGTGTGTGCTGCTATAGCTCAGGAGAAGGACACAGGCCAATTATGGCTTGTTTTATCTTAACTCCAATGAGGTGACTTGTTTGCCTGGACTGCAGGCAAAATATTTAGCTCTTAACAAGAACTATTTCTCCCCGCTTTTCCCCTCAGATACACAATAGGCAATTGTAAAGCCTTTTCTGCCCAGCATCAGCTCGGACTGGCTCTGAAAAAGTAGCCAAAGCTCCCTCAATCCCAACAGCACTGATATTTTCTCCTGTGTCACTGACAGCACCTGATGCTGCAGTGGTGCTCATGTCTTTCTCTTACCAGTAAAAGCTACCATAATGTCCTGTGGTTGCAGCATTAGTTGCACAGCTTGTTGCCACCTGCAGGGGTTTCCTGTGACAGTTTTCATGCTGGATACTGCTGGCACTCAGCAGGCTACAAACAGCCTTTCCAGTCAGTCCACAAGCCCTTTCCTTCTCATTATGAGAGGTGTTGAGAATATTCAGGCATAAAATGTCACGCTCTCTTAATCTAATAACTGTGTAAGGCCTTAAATCTCACTCATGCTAGCTCTGTAGTGCTATATAGGTCCTGTCTTGCCAAACTTAGTGTTCCTGACAGGAGAAAAAGACCCTGTGGTTACGAGATGAAACTAGAAGTTAAGCCATCTGTCTGGGAAGCCAGCCTTGCCACTGACACCCCTCCGACCTTGAGCAATTAATGTGGATGAGGAAACACCAATGCTGCGGAGGCAGATATAGGAAATGACACACGGTGTTTTGTGCTAAAAGCCAAATTAGTAACTTAAAATGTTCCGTGGTTTTCTTGCCACCTCTCCGCAGTAGGGGGAAATAAGTGCTAGAATAAGTCACGAGGAGGCAGAGCCTGGAAAAGTCTCCAAGTTCCCGGACCCATGTGGGAAAGCAGCCTCCTCCATCCGAACCCACAAAGAGGGCCGTGGGTGGTGCAATTCCGGACGGGACAGCCGCAGCCCCGCCGTGCCGAGCCCCCAGCCGCGGCCCGTCCCCTAGAAAGTCTGCGTGAGCGCACCTGAGCGCAGCCTGCCTGCGGGGCAGCTCTGGAAGCCCGCCGTGCGAGGGCTAGCGTTTTCATGCACGACGCTCCCTAGCACTGCCGTCACCGTGGGCGTATTTGTTGCCTCCCTAAACCGCCCCATTTCCCAGCCTGGCTGAGCTCCACCCTCCGTCTGTCCTGCCCCCCCCGGCCGAGAGGGGCGGGGCGTGTGGGCCGAAGCCACCGCCCACCTCGCTCGGCAGGCCTTAAAAGGGCGGCGGCGGAGCGCAGCGCGGAGTGCGGAGCCATGGCGGGAGCTCGGGGCTGTGCGGTGTTGCTGGCCGCGGCGCTGATGCTCGCCGGAGCTGTCCTGGGCGACGAGGAGCGTCCCCGGCTCCTGGGGGCTCCCATGCCCGTAGATGAGAACGACGAGGGCTTGCAGCGGGCCCTGCAGTTCGCCATGGCCGAGTACAACAGGGCCAGCAATGACAAGTACTCCAGCCGGGTGGTGCGGGTCATCAGCGCCAAGCGGCAGGTGGGTGCGGGGACGGCCTGCCTCCGTGTGCGTGGAGTGCTGCGGGAGTTGGGATTTCTGAGGTTAATTCAGGGTGTTCTGCCGCAGAAGGTGGATGAAAGCTTGGGGCTTACGGCTCTGAATGCTAATGTTGCTTCATGAGCTAACGCAGCTTTGTTTACTGCTAAGGAAGCTGCACTAGTTTGTTTACTTGGATCTTGTTTCCTGTTTGGTAAGGGATGCTGAGTGTGTTTTCTCTGAAGGTTGCCACACTGCCTGGTCTGTACTTTTTGGCTGGTTGTGCTTCTCTCCTGTAAGATTCTTCTCTTTAGAAAGCTCCTAGGTATGTGCTGTGAATAAAGTTGCTACTGCCTGTGATCTTGTTGCAGCTCGTGTCTGGAATCAAGTACATCCTGGAGGTTGAGATTGGTCGGACAACTTGCCCCAAGTCATCAGCTAATCTCCAGAGCTGTGAATTCCACGATGAGCCAGAGATGGCTAAGGTAGGCTCTAAGCAGGATGTGCTGCTTCCTGGGTTCCTAGTGCCTCCTTCCCTCTGGGAAGGTATGGGCAGCATCACCTGTCTGCTTGTAATAAGATCGGATGTGTCATGCCTTTAGACTGGGCAAGATGCTGTCCTTGCAGAACTTGTCTTGCCAGATAATGCTCACAGAGGAGGGGAGACTTTCCAGCATGAGACTTCAGGCTGTGGTGCACAATAGGAGTACATGTGCCTCAACCTTATGAGTGCATGTGGCTCTGATTTCAGGGATATGCAGAGGAAACTTTGCGAAGAAGGGATTGCTTAGGGGTCTCCTGGTTGTCAGTTTGGTGCCTTAAGTTGTCATACACTTCTCAGCTCCTCCCATACACATGTGAACAAGCTAACTCAGTCCTCTTTTGAGACAGTCCCATTTCTGTGAATCTTACTTTGGGCTAAGCACTGATCACAGCTGGATTACCCTGGTTCTCTAGATTTACTATATCATGCTGAATGCAGTTATCTTAAAAAATCATCTATCTTTTCACATTAACACCAAATTGTCTGCCTTACTTTGGTCAGTGTCTAGTTCTTGCCTGTTATTTCGTTACTAGTGTTAATTGGTAATAGGCTGTACTTCTCTGCATGTTCTTTGTGCCTGCATGAGAACTGACACGGCACAGGAATGATCCACTAAGCACATGGGTAGAAGCTTGCCTGTGCATAAACACAGCTGCCATTGTTAGGCAGACAAGCACAAACAAATGGTTAGCTGTGTGGGCCAGCCTGCCTGTGCCCTCAGAGCTTATGTTGGAGGATTACCCAGGCTGCAAGCTCTACAGCGCTGGGAACTAGTGTGGGGAAGTAGCTTGATATTGTGAAATGTTGACTGCTTGGCTTCTGTGTTATCATTTGGCATAAATGATTAGTCCTGAGCAGGTTCTAAGTTTGGGGTTCCAGGATACACTTCTGGGAGAGTGCAAATCCAGAGTCATAAGAGCGGCATATAGTCAAGGATCACAAAATGGGATAGATCTGTGTAGAACAATGATCAATGACACTGTTGTATGTTCTTAATATGATAATTGATTTCTTTTTCTCTCTCCTCAGTATACCACATGCACCTTTGTAGTGTACAATATTCCTTGGCTAAACCAAATTAAACTACTGAAAAGTACCTGCCAGTAAGCCTCTCTTGGTTCCAGCGGTGACCAGCAACCAGTTACTCAGATGGAGGAAAAGAAGCAATAACATGAATTGAGATAGGTTGTATCACTGCCTGTTAACTCATATTTCTGTATGCTTGTGCTATGCAAGTAAAACTATGTAATCTTCCTATAAAGCACAGTTTGATCTCAACTTTATTTTTCCTCTTTGTAGTTATATTTTGGAGTAACTGTTTGTCTTCTCACAGCTTTCCCAATAAAGTAACTCCAGTGTCAGAATTGAGGATAAAGTTGGTGTCCCTGTGAAGTGACTACTGTAAACATTAAAACTCAATTCATCGTTGTTGTTGTGTGTGGTTGCCTTTATATGAGTGCCTGGTGTCTTGAAGGGAGGGTTTTTGTTTATTTATCAGCTAATCTCCCATGCCCAAAGGGTGGGGTGAGAAGAAATGCGGGTCTGATTACAGCAGGAATAAGTTTGGTGAAAGTGTTTAGCTGTTTTGACTGAAGAAGTGCTTGGACTTTGAAAATGCTGTAGCTTGCAATGCTATCTTTTGGGAAGGTTAACCAGAACTTAGGTGAAGTGTGTGTGATCAGTTTCTGCTGGAATTCTGCTCCTATCAGCTGCTGTATTGCGGAGCTCCACTTATTTATGCAGCTGTGCTGTGTAAGAATTGGCCATTTTGATGTCTCTTTTGTATTGCATTGGAGATGTTTGGGAAACACTGACTTCCTCTAGCATTGTCTTTACAGGTTATCCTACTGTATCTTTAGTTCTGTAATGTTTCAAAGATGGAAGCTCTGAGTAGAAAGCCCAAGGACTTTCCTTCCAGTTTGAGGAATAGTATGGCCAACTTCATTTATAACCTGAATTATCTCCACTAGACCTGAAAGAACAGCTGCTTCAGCATCTGTGCTTGGTCCATCATAGCTTCCATTTGCAAACAGTTACAGGCATAGAAAAGCCTGGAGGATGGTCAGCGGCAGCAAGCTTGGCTGGTGGGGAGGTGGAACTGTAGTCTGGCTATATGTTAACCAGGGCAAACTTGAGTGACATCTGATCAGGGTACATGCTATTGAGTCAGCAGGTGGAGAGGATCTGTGCCCAGGAACTCTTAAGGCAACTGGCTGAAGTGTTTTCTTAAATTCATTACCTTGTGGGGCAGTTGAGGATACCTGCTTTGAAAAGGCAGGTGACATAACACTTATACCAATAGCCTTAGTTTGAGAATAGTCTAGCACTAAAATAATGGGAAAGTTACTGGTGTTGAGTGAATCTCTGACAAATAAGAGACATCCCTCAGTGGTTTTACAGCAAATGGATCAAGTCTGGAAAACCTGTCTTTGTTCTGCAAGTGTGGGTGTTCCACAGACACAGCCTTCCAAATCTAAGTGTGTGTACAAGCCTGGTGGGTCTTCCAGTTGAGCACATTGCTGCTGGTTTTGTTGCCTGTGGCATCAACACTTGGGATTTTTGTGCGTGTCACAGGGAATGACAGCTCTGGATTCAGGAAGAGATTTCTACTTTTTCAACACCTTTATGTTATGATGTGATGTCATGATGAAGTAGAAGAGAAAGCTTCTTTGAGCAGGTGGTAAGTAAGAAAGGAGCATTTTAAGGGAGTCTTGTTTTTTCCTCTGGAAGGAAGGAGCAGGATCCCCTTGAAAGAAATTTCATCTTTAGTTGGTAGTTGGGAGAGGAAGCTATCATGTCCAGGTTAAGGTGCTAAACAATGAGAATGCTGCTTGTTTTGCATGGTCCTAATGGACTTAATTTGTCTTATCTTTGTTTCTTTGTATTTTGAAGTAAACACGCAACCTTTGGTGTATGTCTTACCCAAAGACAAAATAAGCTTTGTCTTGACATGCCCTATATTATTCCTTCAATCATAGAAGTGGTGTGTCTAGGTCTGGTGGTCCTGTCTTGAAGGTGAGTAAACTGAAAGGAGTGTAAAGAGGAGCTGTAGAAGTAATTTGAAGAAAGCAGATTTTTATGAGAAGTGTAAAGATGCTGTTAGTCTTTTCTTAAAATGATACTTCGGTGAGAGCGATAGCTATCACATTTTTGGGTATATGGAGTGACTTGGATCTAATGAAGAACAAATGGAGTGTATGACTAGAGAGTGGATGTTTCTAATGGGAAATACAGCTGCCTAATGAAGGAGTGAATTTCCTGTTGCTTTGTTGCCTTTCCATGGAGATGAGAGCTCAAGGAAAATCAGCTTTAGCCCGCTCCATGTTCTGGTACTCACAGCAAAGTGGAGCTGTGTGAAAATGAGGTTGTAACTGCAAGATCTCTCATTACATAACTTCCTTGGAAGTGCATCTCCTGTGGGCTGCTCTTTCTCCTAAGGGAAATGCCACATCCCCTCATCGCTGGGGTTTGGTGAACTTACAGGGAATGAGCTGGCTGCCTGCCACCGAAGATCTTCATCCAGGACATGCTCGGATCCAGCAGGAATTATTCCACTCCATCGTCCCCCTGTTCCTGCTGAGTGCTGTGCCCAGAGATAGCCTGTTTCTATTGCCTGTGCAGATGGTATTTGGGTCAGTGTCCCTGCTGAGTGAGTAAATCCTGGTGCCAAGCTGCTCAGATGTCCTTGTTATTTTTTAGACTATATTCCATTCCTATGTTCCCAGTCCCTGTTTTCCAGCTTATCTGTGTAAGGACTAGGTAATGGGATTCATCCTTTTGCTTTTGGTGTGTTTACCTGTGTTTCAGGCTTTATTATCCTGGCTTGAGGCCTGGTCCTGTTGGTAAGGAGATGAGGCAAGAAGGCAGGGTGCAAATCATAGAATCATTAGGGCTGGAAAAGGCCTCCAAAGTATCCTGTCCAACCAACAACCCATCCCCACAATGCCCACTAACCATGTCCCTCGTTGCCACGTCTCCACATTCCTTGAACATCTCCAGGGACAGTGACTTCACTCCTGCCTGCACCAATATCTCACCATTCTTTCTGAGAGGAAAGCTAAGCATTTTATCACCTTATCTGTATTTATTAGACAGCAGCTCTGAACAGCATGTAGGAAAAACAGTGAATGTGCCAGGGAAAATGGGAGTTAGGATGTGACAAGCTCCTGCATTCAAAGGTGTTGTGTTTTCACATTGAAAAATTCCAATGACTAAGGCCACAAATAAGTGGTGTAGATTACCCCATTCTCACAAGCTACTGAGTGTCAGTCTCAGTGGCTGTCCCTGTGTGCACTCCACCTGGAGTAAATGCTAAAAAAGCCTGACCTAATTTAAGCACCTTCTGCTATGGGCTGTTTTACTTTGTGTTTGCAGCAGGCTGAGAGCATTAATGGAAGTTCCCCTGCCAAGAGCATTCTGCTTGGCAGGTCTTTCTGCTTGGCTGGATGGTGCTAGCTGGGTCAGCTGTTAAAACCTGCCTGAATGCCAAGCCCTCATTTTTAGCTGCATTCACTGCCTGACTTTTTCAAGTATGAGGTGTGAATGACAGCTGTGAACAAGTGATCAGAGTCATGCTTATTTCTTTTTGTCTCTTGCTATGCTTTGCTTCCATGTGATGGATCAGTTCTGGGGTTGCACTTCCTTAAAATCAGGCCAGAGCGTTTTCCTGGTGAGCTATTAGGCGAGGTGCTTTTAGGCTGCCACAGCTCATGAACTCAAGGCTTTTTCCTGGCTCTGAGACTTGGGGAGATTGAGGGCTGACAGGCTGTGAAGCGTAGCCCTTCTTAGTATCTGCCACACGGTTCTTTGGGTCTTTCTGAGATCCTTGAAGGCACCAGTGCTCCTACCAGCTACAGAGACATTCTGTACATAGCCTAAATTGCAATTTTCCGCAACTATGAAGGCAAATGACCATGTAAGATTTCAGGCCACCCTGGAGCCCTGCACACTTAGGGTTGAGGTGTCTAGCACCATTCACAATGTCTATACACTGTGGATGTCTATTTCTTAGCTTAAGGCAGAGACCTCTTTCATGAGGTGCTTCCTGCATCGGAGCTGGGTGGCCCCAGGCTGGATAAGGAAGATTAAGGAGTGATTTTGGTGTTCAGCTGGCTTTGGTGAGAGGAGCAGGCAGCCTGCCCTCCCTGCAGCAGGTCCTTCAGCAGGCCTTCCCTGCTGTGCCCTCATGGCTCAGTGCCACAGCAGATCCGGGGACTCAAGGTGGCATGGTTGCTAAACTTCTTCCATATCGTCACTCCCATCCCATTGCTCAATGTGCATGAGCCTCCATGACTGTGGGATTTTGTAACAGAGAGAGAAAGGAGAAGCTCACGCACCCATCTCAATGATAAGCCAGGGCATGAGAATTGGGGTGTATGCTCTGATTATTTCCCATGGCACTGTGTAGTGCCCTCAGTGCCTCATGTTGTGCCATCTCCACCTTTTTAAGTACACAGGCTATTGTTAAGCAATCAAATTTTTCTCCTCTCTGTATTTATTTCCTGCCCATTCCTGCAGATGGGTCTCTTGCCCTATAAATAGGTGTCCTGGTTCCCTAATCCCGGCCATTCGCAGCAGCAGTCTGTAGGGGACACTGTGGCAGAATCACTTTGTCTTCCTAAATTTGGGGAATGAAGAAGGAGAAAGAAACTTAAAATAAAACCTTGGGCTCTCAACATTATGTCAATAATAATAAATAGTAATGTCACATAAGCAGTTAGGAACCAGCATGAGTGCTTAAACTGAAACTTTCTCCTTTCTGTCCCCAGTGAGTACAGGTACCACAAAGGGCACTCCCCCAGCTGGAGAAGAAGCTGGACCTGAGGCCTGGCCGTGGAATCGGTTTCATTCCTTGAATATAAAGGTTAGAAAAGCATGATTTCAGGTGAACTAATGATATTTACACTGACCAGCAGGGCATGAACTGTTGTGGCCGAGGGATGGAAGCAGGGAGCAGACACAGCGTGGACCTGCTTCCATTGTCCTCCTGCCCAATGGCAAGTCAGCCTCTGGGGCATTTCATGCCAGGAGCAGCTCAGAAGGGCTTAAAATCTGTGGCAAAGATTTGTGGCAAAGCCAGTGAAGTTGTTCGGGGTTTTTTTTGCCCTTCAGATTATGTATGTTTTCAGAGCTTCTCAGAGGGATTCCCTGGGGACTTGCATGGCTCAAACGAGCTGGAACAAGGCAATGCTGTGTGCTGAGGTGACTTGCTTGGAAAAGAGCCTGCCTCTGGGCCTGTGCTACATGCTGTAAGCCGGTTTTGGTATTTAACCCTGCTGGAGTCATGGAGGGGTTTCTTGGTGATGGCCTCTCATTAATCCTGCTTTTCCTGCCCAGCAGCCAGCCAGGTGCTGCTCTGTGCAAGGGCCTGTGCACCTCCAGGTGGGCTCTGCTGCTGAGCTCTGCAGTTGCCCATGTATCTTCAAAAC